AGGAAGGAAGGAGACCAGCATAGTAAAACAGGGGTGAAGGACAAGTGAGTGTAAAGGCATGGCATTGATAGACAATCAAGGGTGAGACTGCATGGGGCTCCTGGCTCATGGATTGTGCGGAAAGCCACTGGAGGTTCTCAAGTAGAGAGCAGTTTCAAAAAGAGAAGTGATATCAGATTTGTACTGTGGAAAGCTGGCTGACTCTGTCCTGTGTGTGACAAACAGACCACAGTGGGACAGCAGTTAGAGTGGGGAGACAAGTTAGAAATATGTCACCATAGTCCAGGGATGAGCTGAAGTGCCTTGACCTCCTGGGTGTGGCAACAGAGATGGAGACAATGCTGAGATTAAGGATATACTTCGGAGGTTAAGCAACAAGGTTTAGTGGACTAGGTATGGTAAATGAAGGAATCAAAGATACCTTCCCAGTCATTGGGCTGAGCAGCTGTCAGGTGATGTCAATTAACTGACATTAAGGAAAAATTAAGGACAGAAAGGGACAGGCAGTTTGTAAATCAAGGGCTCTGTTTTGCACAGCTTCTGGTTTATGCATCATGTAATTCTGAGTCATTTTCCCCCACTTTATAGATGAGCAAACTAAAGCACATAAAGGTTACATAACTTGGCCAAGGTCACTTGGTTAACTCCTCCTACATATGTTTTCCTTGCTTTAGCAAGCATTCAGGTCAGCAGTATTAAGGTCAAAAATTCTGAATCCTGATCCTGGGACTATTTCATATTTAATCATGTATGACCCTTTGACAAGGTACTGGATTTCTCTAAGCCTTGATTTCTCTTCTCTTGAAGCTAGAGTTTTTCTTGTTCAGGGTTTGCATGTGGTTGAATGGCACGAGATATGTAATATATGTGATAAGTATGTAATAAATGATCAATAAATGTTAGTGATTATTATAGTTGATCATCTCTAAAGTGAGAAATGCAATAGCATTACAATTCTCGATTCACTCCAATTAAAGAATTCATCTAGAAGGTGTATTTTTCCTCCGGCTGGACTTAGCTTGTGGCCTTGGTTTTATTTCTCACCGTTACAGTGGCGAACCAGAATGAGACCCTAAATGTCTATGAGAGGTTGTCTCTCAGGGTGGGTGGATGAGAAATATTTATTGAAACCTTTATTTAAACCCAAAGTAAAGGAAATATAAGAGGCAAGAGACTATATATGAAAACCCATCAAAAAGGTTTGAAATGACAAAAGTGGAAAAGTCCCAACTTTAATCAGGGAAAGTTGGCTGCTTCAGTGAAAAAGATAACCACACATGATACAATCGGGCAGAAGAAATCTTGATAGTGGGAAGCCAAAGGTACACAGTATTCAACAGCATTTCCCCTAGCCTGACCTCAGAGGAAGAACTGGTTTGAAATTAGCAAGATTGAGAAGTATTTAGCTTCTCTGACTGGAAAATTCCTTCCCCGAGCCCACACTGATGTAGAAGCCTCCTCCGTTATGCCAAAATACACGCAACATGAGGGTACTTTTGGTAATGTCATCCCTTCACTGCCTTGGTTTTTTTCTTCGGCAAGAATGGGCCACAATGACAATTCAGTGCCAGTTGAGGTGGTAGAGAGGGTGAACCTTACCAAATACTGTCTTTTAAGTGACTTGCAAAGGTAAAATGGGACTCAAATCACTCAAACTAGCATGAAAAGTCTTGAGAGGAAGCAGGGTAAAGCAAGACCATGGGGAGACAGGTAGAAATGGTGAATGAAAGTGTCGTGCTTCCCTTCAGAAAATATAGGGCCCACCCACCCCAAATTCAGCCCCATCCTCAGCAGGCTTGCTTCTGGTTCCTCTTGCCTACCCATGTGGGTAGGGTCTCTGTTTTCTGAAGTCTATGAAGATAATGGAAAGTTAAGAACCAGAATTCTGGAGACAAGTTGCCTGATGTTTGCATCCTGACTTGCAAAGTTTTTGAACCATAATATTAACTTAACTTTTAAAGTCTTGGTTTCCTCATTAATGCATGCAGAGGAGGGTATAATGGCTCCCTCTTTTCCCCTTGGGCACACAGAGAAAAGCTATGTGAAGACAGAGAGAAGGTATCTTCATGACTGGAAAACCAACAGTGCTGGCACCTTGCTCTCAGAATTCCCTTCCCAGGATAAGGAGACAATAAATTTCTGTAGTTTAAGCAGAGAAAGGAAAGGAAAAGGAGAAGAAGGGAAAAATGGAGAAAGAAATGAAAAGGGGAAGGATAAAGGAAAGAGAATAATGACTATATCTAGTACCCTAACCTAACTGAGTTGCTGTCAGATGATAATGAGATGTAAATGAGATGATAATGAGATGATAATGTAAAACTCCTGGCACACAGTTTCTAATAAGCCTTTACACTTGTTATAATATTGTCTGGAGTTCTACTCTGGCTGCACCAGGGGTTTTTTTTTCCCCCTTGGCTGAAACAAACCTTTTTAAAAAAAGAAACTCAGAATTTTGTTAGGTTCTAATCCATCTCTGCTGCTGTCACTCTAGAAAAGAATATTTGTTGGGTATTGAGCACCCACAGTTTTTAAATGTGCTAAAAGAAAATAGGGAAAGAAGTCACTGTATACAACCAAAGAATGAGAGCCAAAACGAGATTAAAGTGGCGTACAAAAATTTGCTGGAAATGATGAACAGTGAAGACAATTAAGAAAGATCAAGCCTAGTTCTATTCAAATTCTTGTGAAGGTTAAGACGACTTCTGATATGTCATAAAAGTTGTGACTTCCCCTTGTGCATTGTTCTGTTCCTCTTTCTTCCTTTTCCTAGATGTATCCAAAAATCTAGATAATCAGAAAAACTGTATTGACTGGAAATAAATAGGAAAGGGGACGAGAAAAATCCTGTGTCTTGTCTGAACTAGAGCTCTAGGCAGAGAAGAGAAACCCCAGGGGAGAAATAGGTGGTGGCCAAAGCAGAGAGGAGGCCAGTTAATCTTAGGGACGCCCCAGATGAGAAAGAAGACAGGATAGAGGGGGTTCCCTGGGGGGATGCCTGTCAACTCAGCAACAGCTCTGCAAGGATTTGCCCCAGCCCGAAGCCCCCAGGTGATTTCCTCCTCAGAACAGCCTTGGATCAAACAAAACTGCTCGACTTGAAGGCAGAGAGTCCTGGGCATTATCAGGGTCATTTGTTGTCCAAACCAGAACTTCTTGAGCAAAAGAGAAGGTGTTCGCAGTGATACTGGGTCACTAGCTGTATACTAGACCTGCACAGAATCCTGATCAGTGTCTACTGTTGTATCCTACACAGGAGCACAAAACAAGAGGATTAAATAGAGGCTGAGGAATAAAGGAAAAAATGATGGAAAGAGATTGGGAAGGAAATAAATCATTTTTAAAGCACTCTATCGAACTCATGCACCAGGGTTTGTGTCAAGCACTTTATTTTTATAATTTCATTAAATCCCTGCAAATCAGAGAGAACATCATCCTTTTCATACCGTGCTACCACCCTGGTCTCAGCACTCATCTGCTTGTGGGTAGGCTGTCATGATAAATGCAACTCTTACTCAGTTCTTTGAAAGCTCTTGAACACTTTGAATATAGTAGCTCATTAAATCATGCAAAATATGCAAGGCAACAGGGAAACTGAGGTTCAGAGAGGTTACATGATTTCCATAAGATCACACACGCTAGTAAAGAGCAGGGCCAAAATTCAGATTTGTGTTTTTCTGGCTGCAGAGTCAGCCAGACTCTCCATTTATCAGGCTCCTTGCCTTAACAATTAACTAATCACACTATGATCCTGTCCTACCATCATCTTCCTTTTTTCTCCTCTCCCCACAAGTCAGACCTTTTCACAGTTTGGTGTTATTTCTGTTTTATTAATACAGTTCTGCTTACTAACTATTCTGGATTTTTTTTTTTTTTTTTTTTTTTGCATATAAACTATAAGCAGCTTTTTGAACTGCGTCCCTTACTCTCTTTGTTATCCATGGCAACCAGGAAGTGACGGTCCTGTGTTAAGAAGTTGGATAAATACTACTGGTCATGTTGAATGTTTGTAAGGCTCTTGTCTGCCCACTCTCACATCAAAAGAGGAATTCACCAGAAGAAACAGAAGTCACTTTTTCTCATGCACACCCATTTCTTTCTCTAAATCTCTTCTGACTCATAAATATCACCTGACTCGCAATTTTCACAGATTATGGTGGAATGAAAACTTCATAGAAAATAGGAAATCATAAATAATACCTAAATTCCCATGAAGAACTCCTGCACAAGCAAAGAAAACAATCAGCAGGAAGAAGAGGTAACTGACAGGACAAGAGAACATTTTTGCAAACTGTACACCTGGTAAGGAAGGAGTTAACATCCAAAATTTATAAGTCGTTCCAACAACTCATATCAAATGAACAATTGGATTTTAAAACAAGCAAAAGACCTGAACAGACATTTCTTTCAAAAAAGAAATACAAATGGCTAGCAGCTATATCTTGAAAAGATAGAAACTCAGAATCAAAGTTTCATAAAATCTCTATTACTTCATGAAGTCATTTTTAAGTGCAATTGTTTTTGTGTATATTGGGAACCTTTGATGCTTGAAGAATATGGTGACCGTGACAGTGTGGTGCCACCACCTCAATTCACATTTAAATTGACAGCAACTTTACCCACCATGGGTACAAATTCCAACACAAGGAAAAAGTGATGTCAGCCTTAGAAATAAAAGAGTTTTGACCTTACAGATATTCACAGGCCACACTCACAAATTACTGCAATAAATATAATCTTTTTCTTTAAATAGGCCAGATTAGTAACTCTGCTCAGTTTTGCAGGCCATATGTTCCCTGTTGGATACTTCAGCTCTGCCACTGTGCCACAAAAGTGGCCGTGGGAGATGTTAATACACATAACTAATCGTCACTGACAAGACCAAGCAGCATGAAGAAGTTGATCTCAGGCGTACTTTGGAAGCTCCTAGTGTCTTAATTCATGCATGCTGCCATCACAAGACCCTAAGATAATATAGGCTAGAATAGAAAGTAGCTTCTTACTGCGATGGAAGTGAAGAAGTTCAAGATCAACGTGCCAGGAGGTTTGGTGTCTGCGGAGGGCTGCTGGACAGTGCTAGTTGCTATGTCTTCCAGAGGGCTGAAAGCCTCCTGCATGGCAGAAGGAGGAAAGAACAGAAAAGGAAGCATGATAAGTCCCCAGGAGCATTTTTATAAGGGCACTAGTCAGCATCTAAGGGCAGAGCACTAACTAATGACCTAATCTCCTTCCAGAGCCCACGCTTCTTAACACCGTGGTACTAGGGATTAAGTTTCAAAAGGAACTTTAGGGGGATCACAGACAGTCAAACCATAGTGTTCTGGATTCAGGAGTATTAGAGTCTCCTTTTAGAGGTGATTTCTAGGTCTTTTCTGGACAAAGAATTGAATGAAACAAACTTAAAATGTGGCAAAGTTTCACATTAATTAAAGGTAGGGAGAAAAATAGAGAGGTAGAAAGGAAAACAGAAAGGTAGAGGGCAAATGGGCCTTGCAAAAAGGGCAAATAGGAGCCTAGTAAATGGGAGAAAAAAAAGCAATAAAAATATGCCCAACAGCATAGAGTGGGCTACGGTTAAGAGGCATGCTACCCAGCCCTTAATGGTTATGATCCCTTTTTATGTTTCCTATACTGGCTTCACATCCAGGTCATTCTATCAGAAACTTGCTTGAGCTCTTGGGACAAGACCAGCGGCAGGGTTCTGAGAACTCTCCTGTGCATATGTTCTAGGATCTTGTCACCTCCTTTCCCAGATAGTTTAAGCTACCCTATCTTCATGCCTCCTTAGCACTTGGTAGAGACCAAATGAAATAATGAATTAAAAGTGTAAAGCAGACTACCTGACATAAATGAATTGTAGTAATTGCTCAACAAATAATAGCTATTATTACAGATTTTATTGGCTCCCCTCCACAGGCAAACACACACACACACAGCACACAAAGACTGATAAACCTTGTTAAGCCAATACTGACTACTTTTTTCTACTCTTTTTAAATTACATTAATTTATTAATACATGTGTGTAGTACATAATGTTCACACTCCTTGTTAGGAGTTGGTTCATGTCTGTAACACACCTTCGTGGCTTTTCATCCCTTGTCCTTTCGCGCTCTCCCACATCTCTTGATCCCCTTTCTCTTTTTGTACACATTTGCAGTGCGTAGTGATTGCATTCCTTTGTGTGAACTTAGTACACATACATAACACATCCCCACCCCTTTTTCACTCCCTCCTCCTCCCTCCATCTCCTAATCCCCCTCACCACAAAGAGGGACATAGCTCCCTACTTTCTGTTACTGTCTTTTACTCCTACATTATATATGTATATGAATAGTTAACTCAATTGATTTCTGAAGAGATCAGATGAATCAATAAACAGTAAGGAGTCATTAAAAAAAAGTTCAGAGGATGAGTGTTAAATGAAAGGTTTGGGGAGCATAAAAACGCAGTTCACAGAAAGCCATAGCTTACTGACCAAACCCAGGTTCAGCTTGCTGAAGCTCCAAACCTGCATTTCAGATCTGTCATAAACTAACTTGTATCTCTAAGACTTGTGCAGGCCACAGTTCCCACACATTCCAAGAGGAAGACATTGGATGACACAGTATATTACTGTTCTATTGCTATAATAATGTTTAACAAGTAATCACCAAATCTCAGTCATACATGGCAATGGGTGTTTCAGTAGCTCACAGGTTTGTCAGCTTGACATGGCTGTGTGGTTCTATTTTATGTGTCTCTCTTTTGCTTTCTGAGACTTCCAGAAGAATCTGCACATTAATCTTTCACGGCAATGAGATTTGCAAGAAGAAAAAGCAGGAATATACAAGGCCTTTGTCTTAGTCTGTTCCTGCTGCTATAGAAGGGGATATATAAACAGCAGAAGTTTATTTCTCACGATTCTCAAAACTGGTTTGTTCAAGATCAAGGCACTGGTACATTCAGAGTCTAACGGAAGCCCAGTCTCAGATGGTACCTTGGACCCTGCACCCTTCACAGAGGTGAGCACTCTCTCCTCACTCACATGGCAGAGGAGATGGAATGGGCTATTCTATCCCCTTAGTTCCTTTTATATACCCCATGTGACTTAATCAAGCCCCTATCTCTTAATACTATCACACTGACAAGCTTCAGCATACGAATGTGAGGGACACTCACTCAGATTGGAGTGGCCCCATAGTTCCCCAAGCTTAGAAGATGCATATCATTGCCTTGTTCTTTTGGCCAGTCAAAGTTAAAGCTCAGGGAGTACAGTGCATCTTTTCAGAGAGCAGAACTTCATAGCCACAAGGCAAAGGATGAGGCACAGAGAAGAACCAGGGCCATTAATGCTATATATAAATTGTCCCCCAATTACAATCGTTCAATTTAAAGTGTTTCAACTTCATGGTGCTGTGAATGCTGTATCCATTCAGTAGAAACAGTATTTCAAGCTTTGAATTCTCTCCTGGGCTAGCAGTAAGTTATGATACACTCCAGAGATGCTGTGTCAGTGAGCCAAAGCTCCAATCAGCTGTGAGGTCTATTCACAACACTGAAGTAAACACCCAACACTGTACACTACTGTGTTGCAAAGCTGTGATGTTCAATACAGTAGGTACATAACACACATTTCTGACTTACAATGTTGTCTATGTATTGTGGGTGTATTGTTCTATAATCCCATCCCAAACCAAGAAGCACTTATATGAAAAATTCTAAGTTCACTTCCATTTTTAATAAAAATTAAATTAAACTTTAAAGGGTAACCTGTATGATTTTCTAAGAAATTAAGAACCTCAATTATTTGCATGACTTTTTTTTTCAAGTTCATTTGGGACAATAAAAGAAACCTAGAGGGACAAGGAAAGGCAAGGAGGAAAATATTGGAATAAAAAGAAAGGATGGCATAGGACCGTTAAAACAAGAAATAGAAAAGAAGGAAAGGATTGCAAATAGAGTTGAGGGTATTGTAAAAACAGAAAAGAAAGAAGGAGGGACCAAGGGAAGAAGCAGAGGGAGGGAGATGTGAAACAGAGGAAACAGTACAGAGAAGGACGTGAAAAGGTCATTGCAGGGAAAAGAAGACGAGAGGGAAGAAATTAACAAGGACACTTGTTCTTAGAGAATATCTGAACCACAAAGTTATCAAAAAACCCCTTGGACAAAAATTTATCTCATTCCTAGGAACTAGGTTTTTTTCAAAGATACCTGTTATGATTCCACCTAGCATAAAAGGTAGACGGGAACTACATTTTAATATATGCTTTACTTTCAATCTTTCAATAAAGTTAAAGTAGACAAAATGTCTGATTTTAAATCTTGTAAAACTTCTGTTATAGAACAAATCAATTTTCTTAGATTACCTATGTCTAAAAATTGAAAGTGAAATTTCAAATCATTCATTTTTAAATTACTGAACTTATTTTCTACCACAGTTTCGAGGTGCATTCATAGCTTCACCTCTTCTTCTCACGTTTACTGTTTGGTGGTGTCACTTTAAGACTCCGTCTTCGACTTGGTACAAACTTTGACGTGGATTTTAAAGTATTTCCAGCATTTTTGTTATTTGCTTTTCATTTTTGCCTGTGTTTTCCTTATTTCTATGTCTTCTTTTAAAATTATTTTCTGCCATATAATTTTAGGCTTAAAAACAAAGAAAAATCTTGACAAGGTCACTCAATGTAGCAAGAAAAAAAGTCTTCACATGTTTTATTAAAGTCCTATTATGACAAAAGTTGAGATGTTTATGACTAAAGAATTAGAAAGCACCTTAATCTCCAGAAAACAGCCAAGAATCTGAAACCAGAATGATTAACACTTTCCATCTGTGAGCCTCTAAACTCTGAAACTGGTCTGAACTGATCTATAGTTGGAAACAAATGAAGTGTACTTTAGAGCACAAACCAAGAGTCACTTCTCTGGGTTCCAATCCAACTCTGCCGCTGGTTATCTGGACAAGTGGCCTGACCTTAGGACTTACCCAGAACAGATGGAGATGGGACAACCAAAGATCTCTGAGTTTTCTTCTACCCACCACATTCTATAAAATATTCCTCATCAATTTTTATCGTCTTTTCTCACTCCTGCCACACAACCCCTTAAAAACATTAAGCGTTTTTTCTTTCATCTTTTGTTATCAGATACCAACTTAATGCCTTCTGTGGTACAAGTCCTAATGTATTCATTAGGTGAACACTGTTAAAGAATCTTTTATCATCAGGGAAAGAAAAAAGCAGACATCCTGAATGTATTTGATGTGGTAGGCTCTGCCAAAGTGTTTTTAGGTGGTGTGTTATCTAATCTTTACTGCAACCCTTTGAGGGAAATGTAATTATCTTTTTAACAGATTAAATAACCTCTGAGAAATTTATTAAGTTGTCCAAAGTCATTGCTTCATTAATTTATTCACCGATTCAGTAAACATTTATCGAGTATCTTTTCTTAGACTGATATATATATATATATAATTCTAAAAGAGAGAGAAACAACAAAAAAGCACCTTCAGCTAAAACAAAATCAACCACACAAATAGTTCAACAAGCAATTTTAAGAAACATGAAGAAACTTCTACCTAGTAGAAAGCTAGGGATTGAACAGAGTCTGCATAGTAAAATGGGAAGATTTAGGCAAATATTTGGAGAGACAAAACAGTCAAACAACCTAAAGCAGAAGCATAACCAGCAAGTGGTGAAGCTAGTATTTAAAATCTGTGACATGTACACTGGTGTCTTCCTATCATAGCCAAAATCAAGGTGCATTTCATTTGTTTCTGTGAAACAGGGTATGAGGATGAACTTTGCAAATTATCTCCAGCAAAAACCAAATTTGGACTCCAAATTTCTAAAGACAGTTGTCTAGAAAGAGAAGCCTCTGTTTAGAAGTAAACAAATAAAAATAAATAAAAGCCATCTAGAATACCTACAGAGAAAGCTTGCAGAAGTGCCTTCTCTTAAAAGGAATTTCAAAGAAGAGATTCCTATACAGTGTAAGAATATGTTCCAACCCTTGTGGCACTGAGATTCATTATTTACTGGCAAAATCCATCTTTCCCAGAAAACTATTTTAAAAGATCACAAAAAAGAAGTGTGAGATATTAGTTGTCCCTTTGACAAGAATAGGGCTACTGG